AGAACTCAGGAATGTGTAACTGTGTTAGAGTGACACTCCAACAGGGATATAACCATACTGCTTCTTACAATCTCGGCTCTTTCGGACTTTCACATACAAGTGTGTGACGGTTGCATTGAGACCATTCATGGAAGACTTAAAGAAAGACAAGATCATACTTTTCATGCTTTATTAAACAAATTACCATCACAGCCTCATGAGACAGGGACAGTAGATTAAATTACGACAAGCTCAGTTGTAAATGTGCCTTTATTCTTTTACAGTATTTGCACGGTCGCTGTTGGTCACAACAGTTTCGGTGTACAGACATTAGCTAAATTTTAACATTTACAGGCAACTCACAACAAATATAAAACCAAATATCAATTGATAGATTTTAAAATACAGACATCTCATATTGGCAGTGCTCAAAAGCGTATTACTGGACAATGCATTTCTTTTTTTGTTTAAAGTTTATGTTTTGTAAATTGTGGTCTAATGTATTGTTCCTAATGATATTATTAGTATCAAATCTTCTGCTGTTTGTACAATCCAAACACGAGGAAACAGACACTGCTTTCTCTGTTTGAATGAGTTATCGACTGAAAGAGTTTTGCACATTGAATCTCACTGAAATCAGGTGTGAGCAGTTTAACAGAAACTGCAACAGCACTACTGAGAACTCACATACTAACTACTGTACAGTGAATCACTTTGGCTTACAAGGCATTTGGTCAGTGTTCATCTCATAAATCATTCTTCAACACATTCCACCATTCAATTTACACTGACATTTCTTACAACTTATTTAATGGGTTAAAAAAACATCCTTTACAAGTAAAATCACAATAAATATTAAAGCTATTACGTACTATTTGGAGTCATACAATGATGCACAGAAAATAATACAATCACCCATATGTCAGCTTTGTATAAATATATTGAGTGGATCTGAGTGCCGTTCTGTCACTGTAAGGATTTATTTTACAACCTGAAACATCTCAAGGACACCTTTACATTGGTCCCTAAATATTTGGCAGAAACTTGATTGAGTCATATTGCAGGAATGTATTATGTTTATCAGCAATAGTTTACTACAGTTATGTACTTCTTTTTACTCTCAGTATAGTCACATATCTGAAAATCTGGACAGACATATAAGGCATTGGAAGGAATAGCAGCAAACTATACGAGCTCATTACTGTACACAGCAAACCTCACAAACCAACCCTCATTTTATATGCTGAAATGTATAGAGCATTCATATTTTAAAGCAATGGGAAATAATCTGATTAAATCTGACATTTGTTGTAGTTACAGCAGAAATGAATGTAGATTAATCTGATATACAACTCACATAAAAAACAAATGGGAGTGTTTTTCTTCATGATGTGCTTCAATAGGAAATATGTGATTGTCGTCGGATGTCCAGTTAATGAGCAGCTGCTACCGACTGGTATGAAACTGCTACAGGAAATACCTGAAGCAGCTGTTTTGGCACCTCTGAAACCAGGCCCAATTTTTAACCTAATAAAAGCAGAAATGATGAAATGAGCTAAAAGTATAAAACGTGAGTACACTGTAAAAGTGAGATGTAGGCAATGTGGTTGGAGATTGTGTAAAAAGAGAGGACAACGTGGAGCCACAGATGGTGTTGCTGATCAGCTGAAGTCTCGGTTGGTGAGGATCATGGGGGCCACCAGGGTCCAGATGTACAGGGCCAAACACACCCAGCTGGAGGTGATCTTTACCCACACTGCTGGCCACTTGCTGGTGACGGTGTAGTCTGCGTCAGGGCTGCCGGGGACAGAACACAACAAAAGGTCTTTCACTCGTCGACATTTGTTCTAAGGTGGAAACAACACCTTTAATCTACAGCAGTGGTTCCCAACCTGGGGGTCAGGACCCCCAATAGGGGGCGCTTGTTTTACACAAACGTCCTGCAGTTATTGTATTCACTGTTTGTTATTCTGTACTGTTGTTGTTATGCACTAAATATAACATGAAATAGCCTCACAATATGTCACAGTCAGGGGTTGTGATGATAGCAAAAGGGTCCCTTAAAGAAAAGGGTGGAAACCACTGGTTTTGGGAGTACATTAGCAAATCACTTCAGCCTAGAGTCCTTCAAGTCACAGAACATACTGACAGCGCAGCACTCTGAGTTCACGGATGGGTTTTACACAAACTTCCTGCAGTTACTGTGTTCACTATTGGGATTCACTGTACAGTTTGTCAGTTGTTCTCTACTGTTGTGAAATATCCACAAAATATGTCAGGTGTTGTCAGTTCACTCAATGATAGAAAAGGTATCCCTTAAAGGAAAAGGTTAGGAACCACTGTTTTTTTTTGGACAGCGCGGTGTAAATACTAATATATGGAGAAGTCAGCGGAGGTTTGGATCGATCGAAGTTTTTGGCTGTTATGAACCATGTGAAGTACAGTATCAAGCTGGTAATGGAGCAGGCTGAGATGTAGGAGTAAGATTGGATCACCTGCCTTGACGCTGTAAACTATTAATATTAAGTTAAATCCTCATTCAACTTTTCCCTGCTTCCTTAAATGGTGATTGCACAGAAAGCTGCTTGTATGATGTGTGCAAGAATGTGTCCAACTGTTACAGGTAATTACTACCACACTATACATTTGTGAAGTCTTTAAAGATTCACATCATTCATTTAGTAGGAACCAGTGGGCTTGGGACCACAGACCACAGACCACAGACAGGGTAGGAATCCAAAAAGTATTAACAGATGGACTAACATATAGATGGTTTAGGTCTTTTCATGGAATCTGTCCCCTTCAAGAAACCTACACAATAAAGTAAATCTTGCTTTGGACATAAAGGGCATGATACCAGTCTGTGTCAGTGTGGAGCTGCAGTCTGCGTTGTGCACTGACAACAAAATAGAGCCTTAAGGGATACTTGTGGTTTAATCTGTGTAAAATAACATGCACTGTAAAACTGCAGGCTTATTCTCTTCTTCTTTAAAACATTGTCATTGCAGCAGCTACTAAAGTTGACCAGTGCTGGAATAATGTTTTAATACAGTATTTAAAAAAATAAAAGTACTGACCTGTACCAGTTGGTGAGGGTCATCATAATGTAGAGCGAGGCCAGGAAGAGCATGAAGTGGAAGAAGGAGTAGCTGTATTGGACCATGTCCCGCTCGTTGTCCTCCACC